TGGCGTGAACCTGGGAGGTGGAGCTAGCAGTGAGCCGAAATTGTGCCACTGCACTCCAGTCTGGGCTACAGAGCGAGACTCTGTGAAAAAAAAAAAAAAATTCCTTCTAGAAACCAGCTGTATCATAACAAGATAAATAAAAGACAGAGTGTGATGGTTAATTTTACGTGTCAATTTGACTGACACATTAAGGGATGCCCAGATAGCCGGTAAAACATTATTTCTGGGTGTGTCTGTGAGGGTGTTTCTGAAAGAGAATGGCATTTGAACCAGTGGACTGAGGTAAAGAAGAGCTGCCTTCGTCAATGTGGGCAGCATCATCTAATCTGTTGGAGACCTAAACAGCACAAAAAGACAGAGAAGGAGCGAATTTTCTCTCTCTCTCTCTCTTTTTCTCTCTCTCCCCCTCTCCATGAGCTGGGACACCCATCTTCTGCTCTGAAATACTAGAGTTCTTGGCCTTCTGACTCTGAGACTTATGCCAGCAGCTCCTATTGTTTCGCAGGCCTTTGGACCCAACATGAATTACAGTCTGAATTCGTAGTTCTCCATCCTGCAGATGGCATACGATGGGACTTCTTGGCTTCCATAACCATGTGAGCCAATTCCCATATTAATGTCCTTATATCTTTATATGTATATCCTACTGGTTCTGTTTCTCTGGAGAACCCTAACTAATACAGAGAGTGAGATGTTTATCATTAGCAAAAAGGCCTTGTGACAGGTATACTATTGTCCCTAATTATTTGCTGCTACTCTCTGTGAGAAGACTATACTTCTCCACCCCACTGATGGCAGGTTTGGTCACATGACTTGATTTGGCAAGTGAAATATGAGCAGTATGCCACTTGCAAACAGAATCTTTGAGAGCCACTGGTAATTCTTTGCTCTTAGATATTTCTTCAAAAAATCTTCTCTAATGATTTCCTTATGCAGGGCAGAAGTCCCTGTTGGACTTGACTGGACTCTTCTTGAAAAGGTTGCAAAGATAAGCTAGTAGTATGCTTAGCATTTCACTTCACAATGTGGGAGCACGGCATCCTCAACTTTGGTTTTCAGTCAACACAAACTTACACACATACACACACACACATACACACACACACACCCTCATACATATTTATATTTATATGTTCTAGACTGTTGAGTAAATTCCCTGTCTTTTGTTATCCTCTGTGAGATAATTTAACTTCTTAATGCAGTTGGAAAATGTGGTGCAAATGATACTGTCGTAAATGAAAGAACTTCATAAACCTCCAATTAGAAGTTGAATAACTATGTGAACAGCATAATAAAATAGCCCATTTTAGTAATCTACAACAGAAATTAGTTCAGGGAAGACTTTATTGAAAGGATAAGACTAACAAGCCCTAATTAAATGCATTTTTAAAATATTTCCTTCATTTCCGGACCAACACTGTCCAGTAGAACTTCCCGCAATGATGGAAGGATTCTACATCTGTGCTATCTGATATGGTAGCTACTAGCCACATGTGAAGTACTTGAAACGTGGCTAGTGCGGTTCTGAAGATGAATTTTAAATTAATTTACATGAAATTAGTTTACATTTAAATTTATATAACTCCACATATGACTAGTGGCTACTGAATTAGACAGTGCACCCTAGAGCCTGCATTGAAAGAGTATCTTTTCCTAATAACTGAAGTGTTCTTTATGTTACTATATTTGGAACTGAGAAGCTTATATGTATGTGTATGCTTAAGCTTATATCCATATACATATAGACTTCTTAATTGTATGCACACACATCCACATCCACACACACACATGCACACCCATGTCTATATCTTTCTAGTTATCTAGTTATGCAAGTACCAGACAACCTTGCCCTTTTTTGTTTAGGCAACCATAGTATGCCATTGCAGAGCCAGGAAAGTATTTCCTGTTTTGTTCCAGACTTCCAGGGAGTACGGGTACTCCCATTGGAGATCTAATCTAGCTTTAGGGAGAAAATCTTACAGAAAAGTATTTCCTCAAGATGAAATTTGCAAAAATGTCGTACCACATTTTAGAATCATAAGTCAAAGCTGTTCTTATTCAATCCATCCATTGATCTAGAAAGAACTATTCCCAAATTATCCTGACAACTTACAATACTGTATTAACAAATCTCTATAATTTAGTTCCTCATCTTTTTACCAGAAATTAGTTCTTCAAGTGACCAGATTTTAGTTGCCCCAATCCTTATATTGAAAATGAACTATATTTTTATTTCACTGTATAATTAAAGGAGTTTATGTACCTCATTTTAAAGGAACACCACTGCAAAGGTATGATGTTCTGAAATCTGCTGTAATTATAAGAACATGGGATTTGGAAAATACTTTGGGTTGTGAAGATGTAATTATTTGGGAAGCCTGGAAAGTTGGAGGCAGGTCTACTATCAGGGACATTTAGACACTGATGGTCTTTACTATGTGTGGATATGACCTTCCTGGTGGACTTTCTCAGGAAGCAGAGACCAGGGAAATCCTTGTTAGTCAGGCCATATTGGTCCTGCCTCAGAGAGTTTCTTTTTCCTTGGCTGACTAACTAAGACATGTAATCTATTCTTAATGTGGGTGTGGTGTGTTCTTTTTCACTTCATTATAGAGCATCAGAAAGACCTGATTTTACTTCCTAGTGTCAATGTGAGAATGAATTCATCTATAGGATTTAGTATAGCAACTAATATCCTGCCATCAATAAATAACTACTGATTTTTAAATTGAGTTTTAAAACTAAAATGTAATTTTAACTAAAAAACAGAAACACTTCTAAGAAGCATACGATCTTTTGGAATAAAGTAAAGGGCTATTCATTAGAAAAAGACAAAGCTATACCAAGCATACTGACAACAAAGCCATCCCCAAAAGTAAGATTTTAGTTTTCTATTAAAAAGTAGAATATAATGGAACGACTCAGTTCAAGATCAAGCTCCTTTCTATGGATAAGGTAGGCACTAACAGCATTGACCTTTATTAATATGAGAAAAAGAAATTAATGAATATAAAGCAGGAAAGCTGAGACACTCTGAGGTTTCCATGAACTGCTTATGATTGCTCACATGCCAGACTCTGGAATATTTCCCATATTTCATCTCTAGTTTCCCTCGGCCCAGTTGAGTGTAATTAATAAAGCTCTAAGCACCTGCAAGAAGCTCCCAGAAGCTACAGAGAAGGTAACCTTCTCTGTAGGCTAGTGGCAGAGAATGCTAGTTATCAAGTCTTACCTCCATAAAGGAAGTAATGCCGTCAGTAGGATTAGTCTCAAATAGTCATTGTGACATCTTTCACTTGGATTTTTCTCAACTTAGAAACCAGGTTTTGAAAATGTTAGTACACGTTCAGAAACAAACCTGAAGAAGATAGTGACATTTTCCAAAGTAGCCAACCAGCATCATAACCTCGCTTAAGTAATGAAGAATTCAGACTTGTAACAGAAGAATATTAAATGTGGGAGCAGCTATTTTTACAATGTTTAATGTAAAATGTCTATCAATCTTATATTGATTATGTCTAATGTTAAATACAATACATCAAGATTATTTCTGAAAATGTAAATAGAGCAGGAATCAGAAAGAGTGGATTTATCAGGATTATGTTTTATATTTGTCGTGCCTTTATTCCCCAGGAAAAACATAAAACTCTCTGCAGCTAAAGTGTCTACTTGACTGCCTGATGATGATTAACATTTAAGAATTTGCTCTGGGGGAAATAAGGTGGAAATTTAAATAGTGTTGCAATTTGCCATTAGTGCTGTCTCTCACTGTCTATTTCCAAATGAGGACACAAGTAAAAGATAGTGGGGAAATCGCATGGACTATATAATATTCAGTACAACCCTCTTCCTCTCATTGATTCTGTAGGTACACGCTGGTTTAACTGCAGAGATGACTTTGTTTTCAAGCTGTTAATCTTTAAAGAAACTTTAAATCTTCCTTATTTAGCAAATATTCCTATAGTCTTTGGATGCAAAGTGTCTACATGTACATGTAGACACAGAGATATATTTTATATTCATCAAACAGAATATCAATCCATTCCGAGTTGCAGAGTCACATCCTCTAAGAAAGCATTGACTCTCCTGATTGCTGATAATATACATCCCTCCTCCCTTGATGGATTATACCATCTAGTCCCTTTACTTTTGAACCCCAGCAAAGGGTCTACTATCCTATGAGATGAATCTAATTAAATTTTAGGGCATACTCAAGTGCTAGAAATAAACAAAAGTAAGACAAGAGCTCACGTATAATAACAATAGTAATCCCCACAGCAGTCATTTAAATTAATGTTTGTAATCAAGCAACGTAAACACCATAATACAAAGGCAGAACTAAAATCAGCATTCCACCCTATAAAACAGAGGGTGAGGGAGAATGCTGGTAATATTGACAAAGATACTTTTACTTTACCCATGTAAACATCAGACTGTCTTGTTCTCCCTAGGCTTGCTTTTCATTCTTTGGTATGACAGTTCTGATTCTTCAGCCTCCCCATGAAGAAAAGAAAAATTCTCTTGAAGCTGAACTAAATTCATCAGCAAATGAAATTATATTCATTTGATAAAATGCTAAATGGAAAAGGCAGGTTTATTTTAAGCCGTCAACAGGCTGTTTTAGTTAATCATGCACAGTGCAGAAGACAGGAGTTTGGTTGCTAAGAAAATGTTTGGCATGTTTCCATGAGATCCATGTGACATGAAATGCATCTGTTCATTTCAATAGTGAAATAGAAAAAAATAAAATAAACAGTGCAGGGTATATTTGGTGAGTCACTGTGGAACACAAGGCCAAAATAACTTCTGTGTTGTCAGTTTATTCTATACAATCTTATTGTTATGACGTTAGCCTTTTCTTATAATTCAAAAAAATTTAATAGTGATTTTTTTTAGAAAATTAACACATATTCGTTGTAGATAAATCAGAAAATACAAAATAAGAAAATTAAAATCTGCCATAACACACACAAATACCAATATCTATATTGGTATGTGCATAGGAGGGGCTTAATATTTATTTGCTAAATGAATTTATATATATTTTACTTATAAATATGCGATCATACTGTAATACTTTTATAACCTGCTTTCTAAATTAAAAGACATCATGAACATTTTCTGTGTTATTAAGTATTCTTCTTTAGCATAATTGTAATAGTTTTCATTATTATGGACCCAGTAAGTTATCTGGAACTCCTGCAAAATTTCTTCAGTAGCCAGGAACTGAATGCAAGCGTCTTCCCAGTAAGACTGATACCGTGGTGCTGATACGATGAAATCTGAACATGTTCAACATTTTTTTGCTGGGATGTCATACATATTCTCTGATTACTGAGCTAGTAAATGGAATCTCAGCTGTCCTGATTGTGTGTAATTCCGTCATTTCTACCACCAGATAGAGACCATCACTGCTTCATAGATAACATGCCATTCACATCCAGGTGTACTAATGTGAGAGAGAATGGCCAAAGATAGCAATGAGCTTGACACACCCTTGCACGCTATTGTGGTCCTCAGAGTGAAGTAAGAATGACTATTGACTTCCACAACATCTTCAAGGTTGCTGCTGTGAACAAAGAGGCCAAACAGGAGAGTATTAAGTCACCACGTGGAAGAATATGTTGATTAATGAAGCTCTTAATTACATAGTCCAAAATGCTGAGAAGTTCAACGCACACACAGAAAAGGAGAAGCAGAGAAACATAGTTAGTATCTCCTAAGAACTCTAAGAACTCACTTAAATCCACAGTCTTCACTAAGGACAAGGTGGAAAATAAGAAAATTTAAGGTCAGAACAATGATGGAGGGCAAACACAAGATTCTTGAAGATTCAATAAAATCATTAGCTAGCTGAGCAAGAATCAGCCTGCTGAGAAGAAGAATCTGCGTATCAGCAGAAAAGCTGGAGAAGTCTGCAAGATCATCATCACAAGCTGTTATCAAGGAGCTGAAGACATATCAAGAGAAACGGCTTACCAGGGGCAGAGCTCCTCTGTCACAAAGTGCCTCATCTGAAGCCACTATTAAAGCGGGTGACCATGCTGACCAGAAAGAAAGCACATTTCACAGACCTGCTGTAAAGTTTAAATATGTGACTAAGTCAGTTCAGTGGCAGTTTAAAACATATTTAAACATAAATTAAGCTGTAGATAAATAGATCAGAAAATGTGTAATAGCTCAAACAAAATAGAAGTTTATTTATTGCTCACTTAACAGTTGGAGGCAGGTGTTTCCTGGTTGGTGGACGTTTCTTCTCCACTTAGCAACTCAGGGACACAAACTCATTTTGCCTTCTCTTCGTCGAGGCTTCATATTCATCATCCACCTCCAGTCAGTGAAAGGAAAATGAGAGCTTGGAGGTGGCACACCTCCTTCTTTAAAGCTTTGTCCCAGAAATGGTATTCATTACTAGAACTCAGTCATGTGATCTAACTGCAGGAAGGCTGGGATATGTAGTCCAATTGTGTACTCAAGAACAGAAAATGGTTTGGTATGGAGGGGAGAAATAACAACCATTATCTGAGGTTGCTTAAATTTGGTCATATTTTGAATACTTTCGTACACTCTGGCAGTGCTGTAAACAAGCAAAAACTGAAATCCGGCACCCGGATTCTGATTGCCACCAACTTCGTGTAATTTTTTTAAGGTATATAAAATTCATGTGTCGATGAATAAGGATCCATTTTAAATTGATACTATAAAAAACAAGTGGAATTTCTGGGTCAAATGTCCATACAGAATTCTATGGCTTTTCGTTAAGTCATATCGAATTGACCTTGAGAAATTGTTCAATTTACATTCTTACCTGCAGTAGGTGAGAGTAGTTGCCTTCTGTGCTGTCATCCACATCACTGTTAACACTGTATACAGCATTCACATTTTAAAGTTTTTAAGAGACACATTATGATATGATAACTGAGAGCACACACCCTAGAGCCATACTGCCTGGATCCGAATTCCACCTTGTCCTTGTTCTTGAGACCAGAAAGGTCTCAGTTTTCTTATCAGCAAAATAGGGTAATAATAGTACCTACTTCATTAGGTAATATTCATCTTTGTGAGGATTAAAGGAGTTAATATGTAAAATGTCTTGAATAGCACCTGATGCATAATGTCTAATGTCCTATGTTTGCTGTTATCATTTTTAATTTGTCATACATCTTATAAGTATCTGACGCATAATAAGTCTTATGTTTTTTCTGTTATCATTTTTAATCTGTCTTATATGTTACAAGCATTTTCTTCTGCATATTGCTTGTCTTTTGGCTTTATTTATAAAGCATTGCTTTTCATACAGACTTTAAAATGCTTTTATGCGGTAAAGAGTATCTAGACTTTCCTTTATAGCTTTTGTACTTCCAATTGTATCTTGTAAAGGTCTATCTCTCCCTCTTTTTTCAAGTCATTCATGTCATGTATATGTTTTTTAAATTTTTTCTTACTGTCTTAGTCTGTTGGTATTGCTATAAAGGAATATGGGAGGCTGGATAATGTATAACAAAAAGAGGTTATTTGGCTCATGGTTCTGGAGGCTGTACAAGAAGCAGGGCACCAGCATCCGCTTCTGGTTAGGGCCTCAAGGAACTTCTACTCATGGTGAAAGATAGACAGGAGCAGGCATCACATAACAAGTGAAAGGAAGAGCTGGAGGAGAGAAAGGTCCCAGGCTCTTTTTAACAATCAATTCTTGTGTGAACTGGTCGAGTGAGAACTCACACACTACTACTTGGATGGCATGAAACCATTCATGAGGGATCCGCCCCAAGACCCAAACACCTCCCACTAGGCCCCACATCCAACATTGGAGATCAAATTTCAACATTAGATTTGGAGGAGACAAATATCCACACTATTTCACTTGTTTTCAATTGTTACTGAAAGCACAGTTTTTGGTGATTGTTTTGAAAAAGTCCTATCATTCTTTTTCCTTAAAGTTTCTACATTAGGGGTTTGCTTAAAAAAACCCTTGCCACCCATTTGCAGTTTAATTAATTTACTAACAATTGATATAAGTAGAGATATAACGTTGCTTTCTAAATTGTTTTCTAATTATCCCATCATCGTTTATTATTCTGTGCTCTGATTAAAGGGGCTCGTTGAAGGTTAGTATCTCCCTCATTCATCAGAGGTTGACTTGACTGAAGCCACATTCCTTGTTTTGTTTTAGAGTCAGTTAAGAGATAGGTCTGTATGCACAGCCAACTCTCAATTACCAGCCCATAGATAACCCACTTTGGAGATCAATGAAATAAAAAACCAGACTGAAAAAATCATCTCAGCCTGGGATCTTCACACTGCTTTCTACTGGGCTCTGCTCAGAAATGCCAGCTAACTTTAACTTTACATATGTCAGCTCGGAAGAACGATTTTTTAAAGGTATATAAATGTTTTACAGAGCTAATTACAAGTGAGTTTGGAAATTTCTGCCATCTAGCTATCTGTGCATTATGCTCTTCAATGATTACAAGTAATGGAAAGCTGAATGTTGTTTTTGAAAAAATGAAAACCACATGTCATTCCCGGAATCAGACACTGCTATGATTTTATAGAATGAAATCAGAAGACAGAAGGGACTCAAGGAAATTTAACAGAAACAAGTCACCCAAAGTAGACATAGATTTTTGACTCTGAAATGTAGAATTAGTCAATCAACAGCCCATAAAACTTTTTCTATAAGACCCCTCATTTTCATGGAGGGCTCAAGTATTCATGAGTATTCTATGAAAAAGCAGTTCAAAGAATCTCAGATGTCATCACAGCTTTTTTTAAATCCAAAATATCTTAACAAAGGTATGGACCTTGGACTATGAAACCTAATCTTGGCTTGACACGGGGGCTCACGCCTATAATCCCGGCACTTTGGGAGGCCGAGGTGGGTGAATTACTTGAGGCCAGGAGTTCAAGGCCAGCCTGGCCAACATGGCTAAACCCCATCTCTACTAAAAATACAAAAATTAGCCAGGTGTAGTGGCATGCCTGTAATCCCAGCTACTCAGGAAGCTGAGGCATGAGAATTGCTTCAATCTGGAAGGGGGAGGTTGCAGTGAGCCAAGACTGTGCCACTACACTCCAGCCTGAGTGACAGAGCAAGACTGTGTCTCAAAAAAACAAAACAAAACAAAACCCAAAAAACAAAAAATCTGGTCTTAAAATAATTATCACTCAGTTATGGTTTACATCAATGCTTCTCAAACTATCTAAGGTGAAGAACCAGGGTTTTTTCCCATCAGAAAGAGAATAGTTCTGTGAAATATAATATAAATTGCTAGAAAGGTGAAATGAAAATATAAACAAATATAAAAGAAGCCCATTTGTTTATTATTAGATTTAGCAAACATAAAATTACTATGTCAAATTGCTAAAACAGTTTGTAAATCTAACTTTTAATTTCTGCTTTTATTTCATTGACAACCTAGTAACAGTCAGCAGGCTGATGTGGGTCCATGTACCACACTTTGAGCAGCACTATTCCATGCCATTTCTGGCCCAAACCAATGCATTTTTCAAAGCTAAAAGCTCCTATGACATTAGAGAATGGCGAAGAAAAAAAACAATTTAACTGTTGCATATGTAACTAGAACAAATGTTACAACTTCTTTATTCCTGTGATCTTGTTGTAGAGTTTCCAAAACATGTCTTTTGACCTGATACTTGGTTCTGAATTGATAAAATTATGATACACTTGGAATCCCTCACTCTGTAAGTAATGTCTAAATCCTAAAGTGCTGCTTATATAGCATATTCCCTTTTCCAACTGTAATTTATTCAATATTTGTTTTCTACGTCTAATAACTTTTTAAAAAAACATTTAATGCCCATGAATCTAGTGCCATGTGGGATGGTACGTTACATGAAGCTTTACATTCTGGTTTTACTCCAAGTAAGAATTCTCCGGGTTCCCTTTGTTCTATGGTTTCCTAAATTAGGAACTCTTGGCCTCTTAGGCACTGTCTCAGGCTTTCTCTTAAACACTGAAAGGACTCCTTGGACTCAAATAAGAGCATTCATGGAGATCATTTTACCAACTTCCTTTCCTCTACCCTTACTCCTGCCCTTTCAGCATCTTTTGTTTTGTTTCTGATGTATACCGTTCAGTATAATTAGACTGGGGAGGGTACTAATAACCACAGTTATGTTATCAAACTGTGGGGAGCTCCATTTCTTGACTGTTCTTCAAAAATGTGAACTTAATCTTCTCAAGAAAAGAAGCATCCATTGTTATGCAGTTTATTTTATACTATGATAACTGCATTTTACTGTTTAGACTTCAAATAGAAATTTTCTTCAGCAGTATTGCTTAATGTAACAAAATATTGGTCTTTAGAATATCTTTAAACATTTGTAGACATGGAAAAAAATTAAACCATTTATTCACCTAGGGTATAGTTCTTTCAACCACCTTTGATTAAAACATGTTTAGAAAAAGTCAGTTATGGTTAATATAGTAGGTAAAAGAATTAAGCAAAATTTTAGTGTCAAGTGTTCAGTAAAATGTCATTGCATACTGTTGATTTTATCACAATCTATCTTAACTCACTGACCTTACCGACAGCTCTGTCTTAGCATTAACCTAGTAGCTGACCTTGTTTTTTGTTAATTGCCATCCTCTTTCACTCCTTAAATTTGTTATACTATTATTTTAAAAAAGAAAAAAATCTGCTAATGTAAAGGTTCACATTTACCCAATAGATACCACTCTGAGTGCATTTATATGCTAATCAAAATATATACTAAGCATGGTTATACATATTAACAGCAACTATAAATAGATAATTTCTAAGCCCTACCCTAGATAAGTTTTAATTACTCACCAGAAGGATAAATTCCATTAATAGTCTTAAGAGTTTCTCTGGCCGGGCACGGTGGCTCACCCCTGTAATCCCAGCTCTTTGGGTGGCTGAGGCAGGTGGATCACCTGAAGTGAGGAGTTGGTGACCAGGCTGGCCAGCATAGTGAAACCCCGTCTCTACTAAAAATACAAAAATAGCCAGGTGCAGTGGTGCATGCCTGTAATCACAGCTACTCGGGAGGCTGAGGCAGGAGAATCACTTGAGCCTGGGGGCGGAGGTTGCAGTGAGCTGAGATTGTGCCATTGCACTCTAGCCTGGGCAACAAGAGCGAAACTCTGTCCAAAAAAAAAAGAGTCTCTCTTGGTCTGCCTCAGAGAAAAGATTGTAACAGCTGGAAGAAAGAAAAGTATCTGAATATCCAGAAACAAGGCTTTCCCCTGGGATGGGGAGAGAGGATGAGAAGACCATGGTGGAGTCGAACACACATGCCTGGATCTATTAATTAGTAAAACTTGGCTCCAGTGTCAACAATGTTATGACCTAAAAGGCTTTAGGCAAATGATAGAGTTTATGTCCAGTCCCAAGGCATCCTCCTGTTTTGCAGGACCTGTTCTACCACCTCCATGAGGTATCCCATCTCTTCTATCCTCCTTCCTCCTCTGGGACCTTATTCCTTTCAATATCCTGGACACATGGCTGCATAGAAATCAAGCCTAGGGAGCATCACCATATTCTTTTATCTTGTTCATGAAAAAGCGAGAACACTTCTAAAGCATTTCTAACCAATCCACACATCTTCAATACCTGGAATTTCACAAATGAAAACCTACTTCTCACATTCATTTCACTAATTATCAAAACCTCTCGTGTTTGAGATAAAAACCAAGGCACCTATAGCTGCCTCTGAAATTTAGCGTTTTGATTAAATGCTACCAAAAACCATTGCTGGAGTATATATTTTCAATTCGAATAACTGCCTGCCCTAGGGTCTGGATTAAAATGAAATGGAATAAGTATTTACACATAGATTGTTTGTTGAGGTATTTTAAAGTAAATTACAGGCCACATAGCACATTCCTTTAAAAAGTCAAGCTTTGTGAAACAGGATTACATTTAGGATGTTCTCTTGCTCATTTCCTATTCATTCTTAACCCACAGCTTTCCAGCTTCCATCCCTACTATCACCTTGAAGGCTCCTGACAAGGCCCTTTATAACTTGGATGCTAAACCCAGTGTCAAGGTCGCAGCACACTTCCTGAGAGAGACTTTTAAAGTATTAATGTTCTTTTCTGTAATTTTAGGCAAAGTCAAACATGTCTCAATACTATTTTTCCCTTGCCATATACTCTGAATGTTTTAATTATAATTTTGAAAAACCTTGATTCAGGTATGAGACAGAAGAGTCTGGAAAAGTAATTAAGTGGAATACACCATGCTCATTATACAGCAAATGAATTTCAACCCCCATGAAATGACCCCCCCAAAAAAAATCCATTTATTTCATTAAATCCCCAAGCTCTTCTGAAAGTGCTCAGACTGACGACCCAAACACATAAAAGCACCTGAAGATAATGATTAATAAATGCCTCTGGAAAAAACATAACTAGTAAAGATTCTTTTCTTTTATGGGCAAGTTAGGGTCCACATTTTTCTAGCAAAATTTGTAGAACAGAGCCTACTAATTGTTAACAAAAAGATTCTTTCGTGTATTAAATGTGTAATATTTTCCTGTACATATCAGTTTTAACTTCTCTTCAAATACTCTAGACTGAATAAAAGAATTAGAAGTAGGTGGTATGTTCATAGAGGCATTTCTAGGCAGGCAATGGTTATGTTATAATACATACCGTTCTGAGGCTGTCTGAGTTTTAATTGAACACAAACAGGAAATGCACATTTTTCCACTCAACATATTTGAGTGCTTTCCCTCCCATAGAATGGAATGTTGGGAGTGCCTTTATTTTCATTCAAATGGGTAATATATATGTGCATGAGATGTGGGAAATGCCACTAGTAATAACTGAAAATTTAACTTGAGAAAAGCGTCAGTTGCAGGGAAATAAGAACAGATTCAGAGTGGTTTTGGGAAGCTGCCAAATCGTGAGTAGAAACATGTTAAAAAATCCTTCTCCTGTTTTTTCTGACACTCAGAATTTTGAAATCTCCTTTGATCATCTTTGAAGCAGCCTCACCATTCCCAGAAAAAGCTGCAAGGAGCAGAAAGGATAGCGTGTGAGTGAAAGTCATCCTTTAGGAGGGAGAGAGATTCAGATTCTGATTCAACTAACATTTATGGTGTTCCTGGTAAGTTTCAGACACCATGTTTGGTGATTTCTCAAATAGTAACATGTTATTATTATGTACTATTGTGTACTTGTATTCAAATATCCCAGTTCAGGAAGGGAATAAAGAGAAAGTGTATAAGTGCATATATACTTATCTTTTTCTTTTAGATTATGTGTATATACGATATGGGCAGGAGGCAGAGAAATACTGAGTAGAGGTGGGTGATTTCCCGGCAAAGGCCCCATTCTTGAGCTGGAAGCCCGCGGCCCTAAATTAGAACAGGTATTCCTGTTTTCGTGCCCAAATTTTGCCTTTTGTCTGGCCACACACCTCTATTCTATACCCATATAAACCCCAAACTCCAGGCTCCATGAGAAGACAAACAGAACAAAAGAGCAGCAGAGAAGGAGAGAAGAGAAGGAGCATCTGAACGTCTAGAAGAGTTCGGCTGGGGATGGTTGGAGAGCAGATCGGCCACAGGACAGCCAAATTTCAGGGGAAAATCATCTTCCCAACCCATCCCTTTTTTAGTAACCCATCCATCCCATGGAGCCACCTCCAGCACTCAATAAAACCCCCACATTCACCATCCTTCAAGTCCATGTGGGACCTGGTTCTTCCTGGACACCAGACAAGAACCCAGATACCAAGAGTGTACTGAACTGGATAACACTTAAGTCCTCTGTGGATGGCAGAGCTAAAGGAGCACTGTAACATGCCCACTGGGGCTTCGGGAGTTGCAGGCACCCACCGCTAGGTGCTACCATGGGATTCGAGCCTGTTGTACATCCTGTGAAGGAGGTCAGCGAGCTATCCCATTTC